GTAGCTGAGTTGATGGAAAAAAATGAAGAGATACACTGGTTCAAGAAGTCAAGAAGTGAATGGCTTAAAAATGTTGATAGAAAAAACCAAATATTGTCACCCTTAAAACTATAAATAAAAGAAGGAAGAAAAGCAAGATTCATATGTTGAAAAACAGTGAGGGAACCGGATAGATGATGAAAAGGAATTAATTGGCATGGTTTTTAGTGTTTTTATAGAAACCTGTTAAAGAAGACTTGTTACATCGTGATTGGTGTAAGAAGATTGGAGGTAGATATTAGGGATGAAGAAATGAGAAGGGCTATCTTTAATATTAGAGTATTTAAAGCTTCAGGTGAGGACGACTTCTGGATATCTTTTATCATAAGAATTAGGAGATAGTTGGAAAAGGCGTAACTCGGCTAGTAAAGAAAGCTTAGAGTAATCCAAGAAGTATTAGTGAAGTCAATAAAAGTTGCTTGGTCTTAATCCAGAAAATAAATATCCAAAAAAAAGTCATGTTTTCTAAGAATGTATGTGGGGTGCTACAAAGAAAGAAGAGCTAATTAAAAGATGTGGGTTCCAGTAAATGGAGGAGCTTGGTAGATATTTGGGCTCCTTTGCTCTCCAGAAAAGACACACGAAGATCAAGTTTCAATTCTTAATTGATAAGGTTTCAAAGACATTGAGCAGATGAAAAGCAAACTGCTTGTCCTTTGCAGGGAGACTAACGTTAGAGCAATCAATAACATAACAAGTACTTGTCTTTAATATGCTTCATGATGATATTCAATTAGTGTGTGTAAGGAATTGGGAAAATAGAGCGTGATTTTATTTTGGGATGACTGGTGGGAAGAAGGAAAACACACACTATTAGCTATAACATTTTTTTTGTAAACTAAAGCAGCTGAGCGGATTATGTTTGAAAGATTTGGGGGCAAAAAATAATGAAGCCTTATCGTGTAAAGTTGGATAGGAGGTGATTGCACACCTAATAAAGTTGGCTCAACAGTTTGAGAAATAAGTATGGAAAAAATGCGAACCTCTCGCTTGAATGTGTTGTTAAGAGTACTGACTCTGTGCTTTGAAAGAAGTTAGGTTCTTTATGGCCTGAGATTGTGAAGAATTGACAGTGGGATGTCCATCATGGCAACAAGATTAATTTTTAGGAAAATGGATGGATTGATAATGTGTCTCTCATTGAATTATTGTGCAACAACCTAAGTAGAGAGAGCTTGAACGAAATGTTAGCAGCTATGTTAATGGTAGTACATGGTTAGTTCAAGATTTTATCTCTCTCTTAGTAGAGAAAATTGTGAAAATGATCCTTGCTTTTTTTACCGTTAGACAAGGAAGATGGTGATGATAGACTGGGAAGAGCTCTAATAGTAGGGGTTTTAGTGTTGCTGGAATGTATGAACAACTTAGTGGCAATAATCTATTAGATGCTGACAGAACCTGGAAAACAATCTAGAAATAGGCAGGCCATCATCATGTCCAATTGTTTTTGTGGACTGCTGCTATTGATGGGTTTTTAACATCTGAACAGAGGCATAAGGCATGAGTTGGCTCTCATATTTGCTGTAGAGGTCAAAGGAAGGTTAAATCGATTCTGGGTGCACTAAGAGACTACGTAGTAATAAAGACGATCTGGAGGAAGTTAAAGCTAAGAGCTGAGAGGTGCATAACTATTTTTTTAGCTTCAATAAAAAGATTGATTTGTAAGTCACCTAATCTCTCTACTTCTATAAATAATGCTGGTGGATAGAGTTTATTCTTTGGTATTGTTTGTTGAGTCCTCTAGTTTTGAAGGAACATATCTATATTTGAAATGGACTTTGATGAGAGGGAAGCCAATACATAGGCTATCTGGCGTCATGTAAGGGAGGCTAAATGTGCAAACTCCATGAGAGTAGCGATTGAAAAGAGATGGGTCCAAATTGGTTGGAAACCTCCTGATGTGGGTTGGTTTAAAGTGAAAATAGAGAGTGCTGCTAAGGGAAAACAAGAATAGCAGGTTGTGGTGGTCTTGTTCGAAATTGGGGGTTTTTGGAGGAAAGTTAAATTTTTGGACCATTATACCCTTTTATTTTTTTGATATTCCACAACTACCCATAAAATATGTTATTATAATATTTATTTAAATAAAAAATAATATTATCCTAAGTAAAAATATAAAATATAAATTATTATAATTAAAAAATAATTATAATAAAAATTAATATAAATTATTATAAAAAATAAAAAACATTATTTAAATAAAAATTTATAATATTATAAAATTAATTGTTTTTTATAAATATATTATTTATAAATATATTTTAAAGCTGAAAAAAGGTATAGTCTAAAGAGAATAAAATTTCAATTTTTTTAGAGCATATAAAATTTGTTAATTTGATTATTTCAAATGTATTATTATATTAATTAGAATTAAAAAATACTGTACCAATTTTTAATGCACATATTAACATGATAAGACTGAATTTTTATTAAATTATATGATTTAAATTAAGATGTAAATTAATTTACATAATATATCCATAAAAAAATATAAACTAATAGTAAGGGTAAAATGGTAAATTGATTATTACTATTCCTCCTCTCGCCTTCTTGAACCAAACAAGGGATCATTAAATATCCCTTCCTCCCTTCCTTTTTAATCAAACTAAACAAAGTGAGGATAAAACCTCCCTTCCCTCCCCTCCCTCCCTACCCCTCCCTACCCTCCCTCAACCAAACAGGCCCTAAGGGATTGTGTTTGGCAAAGCATATAGATATGCAGGGGCTATTCTAGTCCCAACTTGTTTCAATGATGAATAAATAATTTGGGCGTTTTGTCCCGTTTTCCATCCAAAAAAAAAAAAATTTAAAACCCCACTTTTTTTTCTTTTAAATTGAGATCATTAAAAAATTTTCTACCCTCCCATCTATTTTCCTCATACCAAATTTAGTCACAAAAACATCTTATTGCTAAAACTTTTGCATTGGATCTATGAAAGAAATTAGCAACGAAAAAATTTTATAGTAAATTTTGCAACTAATCCTTCAACGACATAATTCTATTCCTTTGCTATTTTAGTGATGCAAAATTTTGGCACTAATTTTAGTGACAGAATTTGCAGCCCTCCCCTCCCCTCAAGAAACCGCCAACCAAGCACTATCCTAAAAAGTTTGAAAATATATGTATTAAAATTATATTTTATTGTATAAAAAAAAATTTGTGAATATGAATTTTAAGTAGTTTTTACATTAAATTTAAAGTGACCTATTTTTGTCAAAGTAAAGGTTTAAAAGTCAGAGTTACCATTTAGCTAATGGTTAAATAAATAAATAAATCTTAAGAAAAAGATTTATATAACTTATGCATCTTTAAAATAGATGAGCTTTTTAAACACCTAATCAAGGGTTTGATCCTAACATTATGTATGGAGAGAGTCTCGTGACCAATATTAAAAAAATTTTAGAAGTATATGATATGAGCAGATTAGTTATTGCTACCGGTAATAAATAGTTTGAGTTCAACCAAAAAACAAAAACAATAATTCCTTCAGTCTGTCTCCCTTTTTTTCTTTTTATAATCTAATCCGCATGGTCCAGTGTCCCGCGGACTCCCCTCGGCGTCAACCCATCCTTCAGCCCGTTACTCCGTCTCCTTCCCTCCTTAAATTCGCTCACTCTCCCCGACCCCGTCATCTCTCTCTCTCTCTCTCTCTCTCTCTCTCTCTCTCTCATATTTCATCGCTCTCTTTCTCATTCTCTATAGCTTGCGACCTCGCCGTCAGCTCTTCTCTGCGTTATATTGCTGTCTCAGGTTCTTCTTCTTCCGCTCCCTCGGGTTCTTCTTCTTCAGCTCCCCTCTCGGCGACGCTTCCCCTCTGGTTCTTCTTCTTCATCATCCTTTGAGTTTTAGCTAGATAAAATAGCTTGAATTTACAGTAAATTTCTTCCTTAGTTTGAACTATTTTGTTGTATTTGGTTTATTCAAGAAGGCAAATATTGATTGGGGATTTTCTAGTAAAACTTTTGTTGTATTTGTGGCCTCCGATTTCTTAGTGCTTGCTTGCTCTCAGCCGGCCTGAGAGAAAAATTCAAAGAAGATTTTTTTCTACTGGATTTTTTTTAAGGATCAAAATGCTGCATATTGTTAATTTATTCAGACACGTTTCCATACATGGAAAAAGGCGCGCCTTTTTGTCACCCTTCTAAGCCACACGCAATACACAAATATCAAAAGAACAGACCAGCAATACGCTGATATCATACCATTCAATTTCCCTTCGCGAATCACATATTGTTCTCAGTCCCCAGTACCAAATATTCTTTTCTTCATGATTTCCTATGAATTTTACTCCTCCCGGGCTACATTTCATGTCCTAAGGTTCTCTACATGGAGGCAAACGAACACGCGGTTCTTGATTTTTCTCCCTTTCAAGACCAAGATGAGCTTCTTCCCGTGCATCGCTTGTAGCGATGAATCCTTTTCGTTGCCAGCTCCAAAGCAGGTGGTGTCCCCCCCCCCCCTCCTGTGAATGTTATGTTGCGGGGCACAACTTGTGTGTTTCCCTCCAGTTCTTGACGTTGTGATTTTGTGGCAGTTGGGTTATGGCCCTCCTGAGGATTTGTTCGGCCTCGATATGGAACCCAAGCGGAGGTTTGAACTTTTTTCTTCTTTCTTTTAAATAAGAAGATTTAGCATCTATTATGCCTATATTTAGGCGTGTAATCGTTCCGCAGTAATCAAGTTTTTATTATTGCTCTTCTACCGTCCTCCCTCTCTTCTCTTTCCCTTTCCGCTACATATGAAATTGGATAGCTTAGTGTTTTCAAATGACGATAGCCAAAGAAAGTAGTTTTGAAATGATAGTAAACTTTCTGTGCTTGATTGTTGGTATCGATTGTCATTTGATGCTCTTCAAAGTGGTTTTGAAATTATAGTAAACCAACATACTTAATTTGCTGGTCACATTGACATACAAAAATAATGTATTTATATGCTAACTTTATGCAATAGTGTCAATTGCTCAATATAAACTATAAAATTGGGGAGTTAGTTTGTTCCATTTTTTGTATTTCATGAAGTGGCGATTCATTTGTGAAGACAAAATAACTTCTATATTCTTCATGTTTCATTTCAGCAATGGCAGCTCTCAAATATCGGAGCCCAGGTCATGGTTTGGTCCAAATGGACAGTACATCAAAGAGTTACCTTGCCCAAGCTGCCGGGGAAGGGGCTATACTCCTTGTACAGAGTGTGGTATTGAAAGATCAAGATCAGACTGTCCAAAGTGTAGTGGGAAGGTATGATTATGCATGTCTTTATGTAAACAGAGTAACATGTGCCAACATTGCTTTAGGAGGTTATAAGATCACAGTGATATTTGTTATGGATAAACAAATTGTTTGTGTAGATGTTGGGTTATGCAATTTATGCAAATTTGTTATTCAGACATATCTGTTCTAGATACTTGAGTCAAGTCACAAATGATTTGAACCAAACTGTAAAGGCTTTAGCTCCATTGAGGATGTGCCACCTTGCGTCTAGCTCTTTCTTTTCTATGCTTTAAAAGAGAAGCCTTTTTACAGTTGCTCCTTTACGGTATGAAGGGATTGAGGAGAGTGAAAGAGAAAAGAAGGAGGGTTGAAGTTGCTGGAAATTGCGGCTCCAGCCGTGCAGTTTAACATGCAATTAAAAGGACCAGCAATCATAATTTAATCCAGCTACTTTCTTTGGGATATGAGGTGCCAGCTTAATGATATTTGTAACCTTGTAATCCATGATGCCCACAAAGTGATTAGTGTTAAGGAGAGTGTTCTTCTTTAACCCCTTTGAGTTGGCTTCTGTATAAATTCTTCATTGGACTATTGCTTATTGTTTTTCATGATATTTTTACTACAAAGCTATAAGACCTTAGACCTAGTTGTCATTGCATTATATTTATTATATATTTCCCACTTTTCTTTGACCTTCATGTCTACAGGGTATTGTTACTTGCCACCAGTGTTCTGGAGCTCGTGTTACTTGGGAAGAGTCAATTGATGAAAGACCATGGGAAAGAGCACGTTCCATGTAACATAAGAACAATTATCTGTTTTGCTACTATTATATTTTTGGCTGCTGTGCTAAGCCCCTCTTGTAAACACTTATATGCAATTATAGCTTTAGCTCTTTCTCTCTCGATCACTTATCTTGCTTAAGATATGGCTATAGCTCATGCTGGTTAATTGTTCAGTTTTATGCTCTTCTTTTTGGTAGGATGTTTTAGCTAGAAGGCTATTATTTCAGGTAGGACATAATTGTGTTTAATATGGTTGCACCAAAAAATAATAACTCCTCTAGTTTTTAGTCCTTTTGGTGAGAATAATGATTGTTACATTTAGTCAACATGCTTGAAAAACAGATCAAATATGTTGTTTATTTTGCTTCAATATTTAAGATTATGACTTTTAACTTGGGATGGTTATTAAAGTGGGTTGTTTTTCTCCCAGTTCCCCACTCAAAGTAAAGGAAGATGATGAAGTTGATAATTTAGACATAAAGCTGGATGTGAAGAAAAAATCAAAGCGGATTTACCAATCACCGTCTCCTGAAGTTGGATTAAAGATTAGTCGCTCATTAAAAGTTAGTTGGCTGCTTAAATTTGTTTGATTATGTTTACATGCATATATTTTGTTTTGATCCACCATCCTTGTAATTGGTGCACATGGACATTCCATGTGTTAGAATGCCACATGTACGCCCCAGGGGTGATATAGTTTGACTAGGACATAAGTTTAATTATCTTTGTTTTTTTTTTTTTTAAAGTAATTATCTTCACTTCGTGGGATGATCACAGGATCTCAATGCAAAAACTGGTCTGTTTAGCAAGAGAATGAAGATTATCCATCGTGATCCCATGCTTCATGCACAAAGAGTGGCTGCAATTAAGGTTTGAATATGATACATTCATTTCTCCCATCATAATTAAAAGACTTGAGCAAACTACTTGGATCACCTTCGAATTGTGTAGGAATTACACAGGTCACCCATTTATTTCCAAAATATAGTCTTTTGTCCATAGTTGTATTTTTTAATTAAAATACCCTCCATTAGCAATCAACGTACATATGCTGATATGTAACGTACTATACCTAGATATGCAAGGAAAGATAAAAAGATTAGATTTTACTAAGTTTAGCTCAGTATTTGGTTTTGGGTAGGTTCCTAGATGTATATAACGTACTGACAATTAGTCACTTAGATGTCTCTAAAGAGAAAGTACACAAACGTGAAACGTATATGTGGTCCTCATTTCATCTTTATATCCATAATTTTTTTTACTCTATTTTTCTCTGAATACGTTGCATGTATTCATTTTTGTGAATGTAAAGGATCTGAGCAAAGAGTATTAAAAGGCCTATCTTCAGCTTGCCTCTTTTGTTGTATGATAAATTTGCAGTGTTATGATGAAGCGATAACTTTTCATTTGCTTTAAGAATGTCAGAAACTACTTTTAACTAAGCTAGGCAATGAGAATTCTGAACTTTTTTAACACTTTTTTAACACATATTCCTGTCTTGTTAGCACCAAAATGAAAACTTCCGTTAAGAAATTAGCAAAATGTCATTGGTGTACCCTATGCCTTGGGAAGCATTAAAACTTTGGCATATTTGAATGTTTCTGCATTATTAGATGGGGGTCTCTCCTCTCGTACATTACATGGAGTCTAAAGAATGAATTGCACTGTTCATTACCTATGAAAAGTGCGACTTGTTATAAATTTTATAATTTACATTGACATTGGTAAATGATAATGCATTACTCTGTGATCACTGCAGAAATCCAAGGGAACTGATGCAGCTAGAAAGCGCACCTCTGAAACTATGAAAGCTTTCTTTAGTAACCCAGAAAATCGCCATAAAAGGAGCATTGCCATGAGAGGTCAATTTGATACCCCACCTGCTAGTTTGCCATTGTGTTAGCAGTTAAGAAGCATCACACCGACACAACATACACACCATGATGAAATATGTCAACCCAATATAACTCCAATGTAGAGGAAGAAAAGAAAATCAAAAACTGATTTTTGAACAAATTTAGCTCCAAATTGATCAATTATTATGACTTTGACCTTTTAGAATGAATATTTATGGATTTCAAGGTCAACCAGACTGGAAATATGATGAATAGCATGTTTAGGGTGACGTTTCACATTACCCCAGACCACATTTGCCCTCAGTGTCGCTTTTGGGCAAACCATGTTTGGAATGTGCTCCAAGTCAATCTGATTTTGCCAACTACTAACTAGATAAATCCACGTTAGTTCACTGTTTATGAACAATATGACTGTGTGTGTGTGTGTGTTTCGTGGTTGCAAGTTGCAGATGATAAGTGGTCTTGCTTGGTGTGGAGCAGGAGTGAATTTCTTCTGCCAAAACTGTGGAAGGGAAGGGCATAGGAGACACTACTGTCCAGAACTGAAGGGTAGTTTGGTGGATCGGCAATTCACGTGCCAGCTATGTGGGGAAAAAGGCCATAACAGAAGAACATGCAGCAAGTTAAGGATAGGCCATCGGAACGGCAGAACTGTAAAACTTCATCGCTGTAAAATATGTCGTCGATATGGCCATAATCGCAGGACCTGCCCTCAGTTAGTTGGTACATCCAAAACGACAGCTTCTCCAAGACCATACAAGTGTTGTTTGTGCCACAAGAAGGGACATAATATCAGGACATGTCCTACAAGGGCTATTAGTGTTAAACAACATGCTCAAGATTAATAGCATGATCTTCTGCTACTTGAGCTATTTTTTTTTTTTTGTGACAATTAATTAAGGTAAATATAGAGATACTTTTGTTCAATTTTGAATTCAGATATTTTCACTTGTAAGTAAATTCTCAGGAAATCAGGTCTCCTTTTTTTTTTGCCGTCTCCAGCTTGATTGTTCTTACAGTCTTACTCATTTATCATTATTTTCTTTTAGTATGAAAGAATTTAAACATTGATTGCTTCAAATCCTGCGCAAATTAGCCTCTTTTGATTTTATTCGGATATGTGCGTAATTTGCTCCGAAGGAAAAGTTTATACTGTAAACTTTTCAAGAATGTAAACTTCAACATGATACCATAATAATACAACAAACACAATATATAGTTATATTTTACTGAACAAATGTTTAGGTGTTAGATGAAGCTTGAGAAATCAATCATCTAATATTATATTACTTTCAGTTCTTAATATAAAAATCAATTGAATAATTAAAAAAGATTAGAAAAGTTAAAAACGTAATTTAATTATAGCATATATTATATGATTTTTTTTGTACTGCTCAAAAGGTTCTAAGAACATAATGTTGGTCACAGATTGCATTGAGGTCATGGCAGGATGTGATAACTCATCCCTTCGACGGCATCGATTCGTCCACAAGGATTAGAGGAAGTCTGAAGCAAAACTCACATCCCTTCAAGGACTAGTTGAGTAGATAGTTTAGCAGAACCGTCACATATTGTCATTCAAGCACAGGCCATCCGGAGAATGGAAAATGTCCTCTCTTTTTTAATAAACTGAAAAATGTCTTTTCTTGAGTTCATGAGTTGCAAGAATGGAAAATGTCCTCTCTTTTTTGATAAACTGAAAAATGTCTTTTCTTGAGTTCATGAGTTGCAAGAATTTCATCAACTGCATGTGATAGTGCACTTTAATCGTACGATGCCACGACGTCGTTTGACCGTTCGGTAGCCACTGTTCCTCACACCAAAAAGGGGATTCGAACGTGGCTTGAGAAATGTGAATCAAGAAACTATGGGCAGGAGACTCTCCAGCTGCCAGCACACTCTCATCAACAAAGACGCCTCAACACGGCTCGATTAAGAAATAAATCTTGTGGGAAGTAGCACTTATAACAGTCCCATAATTTTCAACAAATTCGCATTACCAAATAGACCACCTATAACCTAACGCCCCAAAGCTGATATCTACGAAGTCAATAATCAATAAATAAATAATGTTCCTCCTATCTTAATTATAAGAACTAATTGACTAATTTAAAAAAATTAAAAAAAAAAATAAATTAATTATTTGTAAAAAATAAGTGTCGTTTTTTTTAAAATATATTTACTAATCAAATATATTAGTTAGAACCACCATTGTTAGAAAAATTAATTTAAAAAAAATACTTAAATATAATAGACAAAGTATATTATGATTTTATATTTAGAACCAAAATAAAAATCAAATAAAGTTTTATATTAAGGATAGGAGGTAGTACCCCTTTAGATTCTGTCACAAGACACTTTCTAAAAGAATTCTTTTAGCCCATAATACTCTAAAAAGATAATTAATGCGTATTTATCAAGTTTGTCAAGATAATTAATGCTTAAATTTGGATCTCTATTTTTTGCCTATCATTGAAAACTTCATTAATAGAAGTACAGTTCAGAAATTTTAAGAAGAATTACAATCAAATCCCAAGAAAGAAATAATTACTAAAAAACTCAATAATTTTAAAGTAAAGAATGACAACCTCTAGAACTTGTTTTGTAATTTTTTTCCTTGACCTCATTGTAATACTCCCAAAATTTATCAATTTAAAGTAAATTTAATGAGTTCAATGTCATTCACAGGCTAACGTGAAGTAAGTGAAACAATGAGCTTTAAATATTTACCAAGTGAATAAGTAATACATCATCACAATCATACAAACTTTACAGGCAGGAACTGGAGTATATCATATTACAAATATAGACTTTCTTCCTCACTCCACACTCCACAGAAACAAATACATACAAAATAAACCCCAATTGTCTATCCCTCCCTAACCACCAAGGGCATTAGGATAAGCAATTAATTGTAAATAGAAGAGTAAATTGTCATCTTTATCCTTGAACAATGACTAATTTTTCAATTCAATCCTCTAAAATGTAACCCCTGTGAGTTCAATCTATCAAGTTTTCCATCTTATGTTCTGGGAGACCAGGCTGGAAGTCTAGTCTTCCATGGTTACATCGTAGGGGACCAAAATGAAAAGTTGGAAATTTTCTAGGGGCAAAAACAACAAGTTACTCTAAATAAAATATGCCAACCACCGACACCAAACAAATTAATTTCAGCCAAACGAACAAATATAACCCTGTATAAAAAAAGAAAAAGAATAAATCCCTTTCCCCATCTACCCAATTTTCATGTTAAATGAAATACATAGTAGAGCCCTTATTCTTCTTCCCCTTGACACAGTCCATAATAATCAATAGTAATTCACAGACCTTACAGGTTCTCCTTCCAATGAAGGCTTTTTTACTCAGAGATGGGTTTGGTCTTGGACCTGTACAGCAATTTCTTCTTCTTTGATGTCTGGTTATCAATGGTGATCACAACCTTGCCAGGTTCCCCCGCTTTAAAGTCATTAGAGATTATGGTTTCATCTACAACCCCAATTTTCCGGCTCTTCTGTACTATCACAGTGTATCTATCTTCAGCACTCGGCACAAATTCAGCACCATAGCTCACATCCCAACCCACAACTCTCAGTTCCCAAACCAGATGGCACGGCTGCATATCCAACAATTACAAATCATAAACCCAGTATATGCACACGAGGAAATTTTTCTAAGACAACTATACTGAGACTAAATTATATTTCATCTGATTCAGTTTGGGATTGAATTCAGTTAGTCTTCCTTTGATTTGAAGCACCTCGTTCAAATTGTTCCAAGGTCTTATTGTATTTCCACATAACTATTACGTGATGTTTTATGCATTTAAATATTAGAAGTTTTACTTACATTATGACCAAATTCATAGACTCTTTTAGCAATCACCACTTAACTTTTAAAACTTCAAGAGCGACCCGAAAAAATGTCAATTCAGTTAATGAAATAACAAATTAATGATAATGTGTTGTTTCGATATATTCATAAGTTTAACAGGATTTAGTGTCAACGTGTAAAAGTTGACGGTTGTATGTGCCTAATCAAAAAATCAAGAAAGCCATGTATCATTTAGCTTAAAATAAACTATTGTTTTTAACATTCACATCTAAATAATAATTTCATAAGCTACATAGAATGTGACCTAGCCTACAATCAAGTTATATGTAAAACGCCCTGGGATGATGAAACGACAATTGAACAAACCACAATATGAAAGAAATCTAAGGAAAATTGTCATTTATAAGCTTAAATATAAAATACATAAAGCAATTCACTCTTCCTCACCTCAGAAGCTGGGAATTCAATAATATGTTTTGTTGATGGTTTAATAGTAAACTCAGTAACAGAGTCAGCAGTCGTGAATTCATAGTCACCCTCCCTGCTCAATCCACCATACTGGACAGGCACATGCTCAGGAGCTATATATCTATTTAACAGAAAAGGTCAAACAGGCATCAGATTTTGATGCATTTGAATTTAAGCGATAAGCCAAAGAAAATAGTATTCCTGATAACAGAGATAAGAAGGGAAATAAAGGGCCGAAATGCATAGACCAATGACTGGCAAACAAACAAAAGATAAATAGGGTCAAGCATAAGAAAGGTCCAATAAATGATCACACAATGAAAAGGGAAAGGGAAAGGAAAAGAAGGAATCACATACTTGAAAAGGGTTTCCGCAGATTTGGACGGACCAGCAAATACAAATTTGCTTTTGGTCCTCTGAGTCAGGAATGGACTTATCATCCTTGAAAAGGCCAGGTACCACCATGGAACATTGATAAACACCTAAAGAAATCAAAACTCAGAGATCAGACGTCTATCAAATAAAGTCAAAGCTACCAAACATCTCGCAAATATATACATATACATACACGTGTGTGTATGTGTGAGTGTTTGAAAAATTAAAGGAAACAGCATGCAGTAGGGATTTAATAAGAACCTGCTTGGCCAAGAACTCAGGATAGTTATCCTGAAGTAATTGAAGGGCCTGATTGGTTGCTTGCCGGAGGTCCCTCTTACCCAAGCCAGGTGAATTCCTAAGATCATTGACCTGGACAATTGTAGAAATACCAGTAGGAGCGAAGTCAAATTTTCTAACGCTCTTCTCCAAGAACTGAATCCTCCATCTGATGAACTTCAGGCGCTTCTCCTCATCAGAAAACGTGTTCTGATACAACTCCTTGTTCTCGAACTCACCAAACACGTTGTAGCAAACTGGATGGCCTTCTTTGTCATACCCATGAGTGAACACCACCTTGTCCCAGTCGTTCCCGAGATCTTCCTCAACAAGCGCATCGATCCCGAATTCCTTCCGCCAACGAACGGTGTTCTTGATCATCGTGAAGGCATCCTTCACCTTGAAATCCCTTGCTCTCAAGAATTTCAGGAGTATCACATCACTCCTCTCATCGGCAAGCAGGGGAATTCCCCAGATGGAAACCTCCTCCGGTGGAGGTGGAGGCGGCGCAGGGACCTCCTCCACTTTTGCTTCTGGCACTGCCGTATCGGATGCCGAAGCAGCGGCCTCACCATCCTTAGTTGCAGGTGCTGCCTCCTCAGAGACTGAAACTATGGTCTCTTTGATTGTTTCCACCGTCTTAGAATCATCTTGTACTTCAGTAGAAACTTTCTCAACCACCTCCGTGGCAACAGCAGCTTCAGGTGCAGGCTTCTCCTCCTCCTTTTTCTCTTCAGTGACAGTTTCAACCACCGGAGTTTCAGATGCAGGCTTCTGCTCTTCCTTTTTCTCTTCAGAAACTGTTTCACCTTCAACCTTAGCTGGCTCTTCAACAGCAGCAACGTCCTTAGGAGGCTCTGCTTCAGCTTTTCCCTCAGCTGCCGCCGGTTTCTCTTCCTCCTTCTTCTCCTCCGTCGAAGCCACCACTTCCGGGGCCTTCTTCTCTTCCTCCTCCTTGGCTGCCGGCGGAGGAGGAGGAGGAGAGCAGTGAACTCGTGCTTGTTCAGTGCTTCTTGAACAAGCTGTTTCAGCTCATCAAGGGCCTTCT